CAAAGCCTTGTGGTCTTTAATAAGACTCCCAGCAAGAGCTTGTAGGTGAGGCCATCCTCGCTCTGTAGCAGCAGAGATTGTGAGCAGCACTGCTGCCTATAGTGATTAGGTAATGTGCCTAAGGAGATTTCTATGTGACATGTTAAGAATGTTAACCATTTTATTTTATTGCTACATGTAGTAAAATACAAGAGAAGAAAGATAAACGAAAGACTCCTGCCAACAATCATAGAAATTAGTATTAAACTGCATTCTCCATCTTCAGTTAAAGTCTTTAGAGAAAGTCTGAATAAAAACTCATGAGACCCCCCTTACCCAGAACCACCCAGCTAGGGCTAAAAACCGAGTTCCCTCATCTATAGAACCTCTATGAGATGTTTGTTGATTCAAGATACTAAATGTTGGGATAATTTGCTCATTACCCAGCAGCAAACAACTAACACAATTATCTTGTTTAATTTTTTTTTCTTTACAGATAGTCTACATTTTGTAAGCAAATTTTTGCCACACACATATCAGATAGAGCACTAATCCCCAGGATATTTAAAGAACACAAAAATATTAACATCAAAATAACAAACAATCAATAAATGGGCTAAGGAGCCAAACAGACACTTCTCAGAAGAAGATATACATTCGATCAACAAATATATGCAAAAATGTTCAATTTTTATCTCTAGTAATTAGAGAAATGCAAATCAAAACTACTCTAAGATTTCATCTCAACCCAGTCATAATGGCATTTATCAAGAATACAGACAACAATAAATGTTGGTGAGGATGTGGGGGAAAAGGCACACTCATACATTGCTGGTGGAACTGCATATTGGTGCATCCAATCTGGAAAAGCAATATGGAGATTTCTTAGAAAACTTGGAATGGAACCACCATTTGATCCAACTATCCTACTCCTCAATCTATACCCAGAGGACTTAAAATCAGCATTCTATAATAATGCAGCCACATGAATGTTTATAGCAGCTCAATTCACCATAGCCAAACTGTGAAACCAACATAGATGCCCTTCAATAGATGAATGAATAAAGAAACTGTGTTATATATACACAATGGAATATTACTAAGTATTAAAAGATAATAAAATCATGGCATTTGCAGGAGTTGGAGAATATCATGCTAAGTGAAGTAAGCTAGTCCCCAAAAAACCAAAGGCCAAACGTTCTCTTTCATAAGTGGATGCTATCCATAATGGAGGTGGGGAAGGCATGGAAAAAATGGAGGATCTTTGATTGGGCAAAGGGGAGGGTGGATGGAGAGGGTGCAGGGGGACAGGAAAGATGGTGGAATGAGATGGACATCATTACCCTAGGTACATGTAAGACTGCATATAGGGTGTGATGCTACTTCATGCACAACCAGATAATTGAAAAATTGTGCTACAATTATATACAATGAATCAAAATTCATTGTGCTTTCATATATAACTAATTATAATAAATTTTAAAATTTTTTGTTTCTTTATGAATTCTCCAGTATTTGATTTTTCTTCTCTGTAGAGTCAGTTCTTTAATAATAGGCAAGTGAGAGGAGGAAGATCAGGGATCCTTTCTGGGTAATCAGACAAAAAAGCTGCTTCTCCTATTTCTGAGATTACAGAAGTTATTACAACCTTCTTATGTTTTCAGCTGTTGACAAGTTTTCCTCTTTTGAATACTATGTTTAGGATTTTCGTATGTTTGTGTGTTCATTTAATTAAGGAAGACTGGAATAGGATTAACCAAAAATGAGTTTAAAAGCAGGCAGCAGGCTGGGTGTAGCTCATGGTGGAGTGCACACTTGGCATGTGTGAGGCCTGGGTTCCATCCCCAGCACCATTAATTAACTAATCAGTTAAATAAAAAGAGTCAGTATCTTTCTGCCTTTCTTGCTAAGTACCTTTCATGTGTACTGTTTTCCTAACATTCCTTTGACCTTATTAGGGCTTTCTACCATCCAAATGTGTGCAAATAGAGTTTTGTTTGGGATGGGTAGGATGGACAGGAGGATTGTGGGACATTTTAAGGACATTATGTGGGGACATCAGGCTTAGTTTCTGTATGTCATAAAATTATTACTTTCTTTTCCAGCCTTTCAAAATGCTAGCTCTCCCCACATGAAGCCACCACCCTACTCACAATTATGTAACCAATACCTATATGAATTCGTATATTTCACTCCTTCACTTCATCCCTGAGGTAACTTTTATCCTAAAATACGTTTCATCTCGAGGCCCTGAGGACTTTAATGAGGCCTCTCCAGCCCTTGATTTGCTGGTGTCGTAGGTCCAGGCTTCTGGCATTTGGTCCGTTTGTATGACATTTCTGTCACCCATGAAAATCATATATGAAAGAAGCTGTTTTACCTCTAAAACTACATTGTAGCTGAAAGCAAACCAGGAGGACTCGAGTAGACCAGCATCCTAAATACCCTCAAAATGTTACAAATGATGATGGGGAAATAATGGCTATCACTGCAGAAATAAACTACAAAAAAGTGTGACTACTGTACTTCGCCAGCACCTGTCCAAAGCAAGCAACTGTCATTCTCAACTAGAAAAATAAAGTAGGCTCACACAATTTGCAAGGCTTCACGGAAATATATATATATATATATATATATATATATATATATATATATATACACACAATGGAGCTTTTTGAGTGAGCTAATAATCAGAACGTCCTAGTATAAACAACTCTAATTATTTGCTATTTGTCCATATACATGGAAGGGTAGCTTATAATTTGGAAGGAAGAAGGTGACTATTATTGATTGTGAACAGAAAGAATGAGATGTGCAAATAGAATTTATTTACCATCCATCCCCTTAGATTGAATTAAATGTGTACTATTAAAAGTTTTATAGATAGGGAATGTTGAAATTGCCCAAGAGTGACTTTATAAAGTCCGGAGCACATAGGGATTTGCCCATGATTCCTGGCTGGCAAAGGCAATAAAGAAGGTGCAGAAATGGGAAAGGTGTTTTATCCTGTGTCTGCCTGGAATCCAAGTTGTTCTGGTACCTTGGAAGTTGGTAAGTTTAGACACTCTCCTAAGTAGTACACTTGAAATGCCCCCATTTGCACAAGTTTGAATGTCTAGGATGGCAGCACTGAAGGACCAAAAATAATCTCTCTGAGAAGTAGGAAGTCAAATAAGAGAGAGAGAACACCATGTAAACAAGTGTCTGCACCTAGGAACTGGTTTATAAGATGTATGCCCTCTCTGGAATCACTCAGCAATACAGGGCATAATTTGAGGAATGCTACATTTCTATTTAGGTAAATTTAAGAAGGGACTTCAAAATCATTATATATATATATATCTTTGTGGCTTTTCTGATCTAGAGTTGCCTAATAATAACATGTGTACTGTCTATTTGAATCTCGTTATGAATTGTGGTCTTGGTGGTATTTGTGTCTGATACCTGATAACGTGCATGAAGAAGTTTTCTTTTCCAAAAATTCTCAAGTATGCTGCATTTCTTATTATCTATAAAATCTGCCACATCTTTAGTGAAATGTAAAGAACCAAATTCCTAAACTCTGAAGCTATATTTCTAACACAATAAGCTAAAAGGAGTCAAAAGACTTTCTCAGGCACACTGACAAAAGGAATGTAAGACATTGTGTTTCCTTTTTTTATTGTTTTCTTTTAACTGAATCATGTTCATTTAATGTTCTTATAATTGCTGTCATTTTGAGGTGACTTGATAGCATTATCAGCATCACAAATTTTTTTCTTGAGAGTAGGAAAAAATCTATTAGATATATCTTTTGGGGAAAAGATATGAGAAGAAACCAAATGTGAAATTTAAGTTATATAGGTTATTTGAATTTAATAATTTAGTATGTTCAAGTCCTTGGTTATCAAATTTTAATCTAGGAAAGTAGTTCCTAAGATATATGTAAAGAGAACTGAAACTGAATGAAATACCATCATCATTTACTGGATATTAACAGAGGGGTCAAGAATGCAGAAGTACATTGTACTTCCCCTCCTTTGGGATAAGCATGGTATAATTACACTGATGGATACTCAGCATGAAGATGTGATGTGCATATGGAGGTTCTTTGAGGTAAAAGATGCACATCATGTTAATTCATAACACTGCAACTAAACTTCAAGTCATAAGTTTTTTGAGGATCTAGACTGGCTCTTGACAATCATTTGAAGTAGCATCATTTACTGGAAGTAAATCAAACATATACAAGTAAAAGCCAATATCTCTACCAGCAGAGATTTCATTTCTGAAGCTTTGGTTTCACTATTTTGTGATAGGAATAGCAGGGTCTATCTTATAGATACTGGTGTTATTAATGTGCTCAGAGTATCCTGTCCAGTGTATGGTACACATGATGTGATTGGTAAACATTTATCAACATCTTCCATTTTTTTTTTAGTCTTGAGTTCTACTATACAAATTTTAGGGCAAAAAATATTATAATATTTTTTGGACATTTATTGTTACTAAAGCTATAGACCAAATTTAGAGTTTAGATTAGGAAGGTCTAAAATTCTAAAAGAAATTTTCATGTAATAAAATAGAGAAGTAGGTAAATGACATTGAAAGATATTTTACAGAGGAGGAAATTTATTTAAGAGCTTCAATTTCATTAATCATTAGAGAAATGTGATTTGAAAAAAAAGTTAGAGATTCTTTCATAACTACCATATTGATTATGAAAAGTTTGACTTCAAAGGTTTTAGAGAGTAAAGGCATAATGAGTTCCTGTGTGCTCTTGGTAGGATTGTTTTCAATTGGTAGCATCCCTTCTTATATCAATTTGTTGATATATAATCAGTCACTGCACAACAATAAATGTGAGTTACTATAGCAATACACATCAACATAGATGGGTGTCAAAAAATATGCTGAGGAAAACAATCTAGTCACTAAATAATATGCATATTTTATACTTTATATGAATTTCATAAAAAGTGAAACTATTTGAGATCCATTTATATGAGATTGTCTTAGTCCATTTGTGTCATTTAAAGGGAATACCGCTGGCACCATGATTTATGGAGGACAAGAATTTGTTTCCCCCAGTTCTGGAGGCTGAAGGTCAAAGATCAAGGCACCAGCATCTGATGTCCGATATGAGCTGCATCTTCTGGAATGGAAGAACAGATTGTTGTGTCCTCACATGACAGAAGACTTTTCAAACATTTAGGACAATTTACTTGGTGAAAGACAATTCTCTTTAGTTGCTTCAGGGAATGGAGGGTGTGATGTTCATATGTGAGTACATCTCATTCTTATTTTAAAAATCAAATCCTTAAATGATTTCTGTCTTCATCAGATTTTCCATGTTTTATAACAAGTTATATGTCTTCTTTTCAATTTCAGTAATTTTACAAATTATTGGATGAACTGTTACTTTACAAAGCTGGTTAACCATCCACAAATCTGTCTATTACACCAAATCTAGAGCTTCACTGATTCTTTCTTGCATGGATTCCATTATGAGTTCCTATTCTTCCTTTCAATAAAGCCATCTACTCCAAGGATGTCTGATATTGAATTTTAAGTCTTCATGCCAGTATTCATTTTCCAGAATTGTCAATACTCTAGTAAAGTGTTTTTCTAATATGGTGTTCGCTCAATTTTTACCATCTTCAGTTGTCATTTAACTCAAATGAAACCATTGAGATGTATTTTGCTAAAAATTGCATATCACTTTACTACTAGAGGATACAGATTGGGCAATATGGAGGTATGACACTAACTGGATTTAGAACAGCAACAGCAGAAGAAAGATTTTTTGGGGAAAAAATACTTAAATTGAAAAACACATGAAAAAAAAAAAAAAGCAGACAGAGATTTAAATCCCTACTCCACAGTTAATATATGGATGACAGTGGGTAAGCGGCCTCACCTTCATAGCTCCACATGCCTCAGTTGTTCTAGACTTGGTTGGTATTTGTGTCAGAGATACATGAAAGAAACTTTTAATCACAGCGCTTATATGAGAATTGACAGGTATTAAATAATGATTATTAGCATCTTTGTGAATATTGGTTTGATCATATTAAAAGAACTTGGAAAAATATTTAATTGTAAAATTTTTGACATGTTTTTCTTTCCTAGAACAATTTGCATCCCAGGTTGCTCACATATGTTGAAAATTGGTTTTTACTCTTTTATCAACGTAAAAGACTACTAGTTTGAAGGCTAGCTTTTCTATCATTTCTAGTAATAAGATGCATACGTTTAGTAAGAAGCATCACGTCTCTTTTCAATGATATTAAAACATTAACTGTCATTTGATTTTTAAATGAATTCAAGCAAATTTGTCAATGTTCCAAACTCTGTTGACAGCTCTGACCAAGAGAGTTTTAATGTTGACATTAAGACCATATTCTATTTCTCTATAAATTCTGTCCTCTGATTCACTCTTCCAATTCACTGGTTTTGTCAATTCAATCAGCATTCATTTACTCATTCATTCATTCCTCTAATATCTAATCAGCATCTAATATATGCCTGCCCTTATCATATTTATCTCCCTTTTACTCAGGATAATACTCAAAGTCCTTCAGGGAAGCTATGAAATTTCTAATTTTCCTTCTGAGACATCACAATCCTACTTTACTATTTTACTCTATAAAGTTCTGTGTTTCTTTACCACCTTGATTCCTCTTTTGAATTTTTTTTTTTTTTTTGTGGTGCTAGGGATTGAACCCAGGGCCTTATGCATGTGAGGTGAGCACTCTACCAACTGAGCTATATCCCCAGCCCTTGAATATTTTTATATTGCTTGCAAGATATGATTTCAATTGAAAGTTCTTTTTTAATATTCTATCTTGTCATATAGAGCATTACCTTAAAAATGTGTTTGATCTTTCCATGCTTAAAAATACATATACAGAGACTAATAGATATTTTGTAATAATTCGAAACATTGATCCCCAAATTTCCCTGGAACTAAGACTCTCTTGGGAAACTTACTAGTGTATAGATCATGAAATGTCAACCTTGGATATTAGTCATATCTGAATCTGGGAATCCTGCTTTCTTTTTCTTTTCTTTCTTTTTGAAAATTGAAATAAATACTCAATTTTTATTCTTGATTCTATTCTTCAAAGAATTTGGAAAATAATAGCATATTTTTATAAATAAAATTTTATGAATTATAATCGTCAGTAATAATTATCCTACACACTTAAATTCCTTCATGGATTTTATATATAAATGTGTGGAATTTAAATTAATGCAATCTTAGAATATTTCAGAGTGACCACTTTGTAATCTAACTCAGTGGGATAGAGGGCCAAGGCTGTGGATAATCAAAAGACTTATCTGATCTTGTCACTGACTGGCTCTGTAACCTTGGATGATGACACGTCCATATTAGAAAATAAAACTATGGCCCACAAACTTTGCAACAAACAACCTAGAAAGCCAGGTCACATCCTTCACACCAATCAAGGCCTGTTCAACAATGCCACCTTCCTTAATTTTTCTCTCTACTTCCTGCTTCCAATTTAGGATAACAAAAGAAAGCCAAATATGCCACTAAACTGTTCATTGGTTCTCCATCACTGTGACAGAATTTCTGAGATAATCAACATAAAAGAAAAAATGATTTCCGTTGACTTATAGTTTTAGGGGTTTCAGTCCAAGATCACACTAATTTTCTCCCATTCTCCACTTCTTAATCTATTAAAAAAAAACAGATAAAAATATTTTGTATATATTTCATAGAAGTTTTAGAGGATAAAATTAAATAGGATGTAAATAGATTTGTACTAGGATAAAACCCAAATAAATTCAAGGTTATGATCATTAAGAACTAGCAATAACACTTCTAGATATTAGGTAAATCATAATCAACTCATTAAAATTAAAATTTTCCAGTTTTTCTTCATTTAATAGAAATATTAAATGAGCATGTGTCATCTTATACACATCCTGTACTTAAGAAAGATTATGGGCCACTGAAGGTTGTATGTTGTTAAATACATCCATTCTGTCCTGGCTTTGAAACAGTTGGAAATATATACAACTATTTATTCATAAAATGCCTGTTGGTCCAATTGAGTCCTCAGGGAAGAAGAGTAATGTAATCAAACCTAAGGTTTTTGTACTGATGAGACCAATCTAAGAACCAAGTGCACTTGTCATTTAATAATGCTGTGGTTGGTCATGACACTTTGAGCAAGTAATCAGGAGAAGGTCTTCTGTGCTCTTTAGTACATGCAATTTCAATTTATTTCAAGATGCTCAGTGGGAAATTAAAAAAAAAGCCAACACCATTGTAATGCTTTCTATGGCTTGTTTGCTTTTGTATTTCATTTTTTTCTTGAATATGTCCCCTTTTCTTTTTAGGTTTTATAGAATAAAACGTTGTGCCTCTTGAGTCAACAGGTGTTTTCCTGTTCTTTTTCTAAAATGTTCTCCCACTTTTACCTATTGTTAAGGACATTAACTAGCTGCCTCAACTCACTATTCTTGATAACAATCAATGGTATAATAATGATTGAATTCTTCTAATGTATTCTGAATTGGGAATGAGTGTAATATGTCTATAGGCAATCAGCTTACTACTTTGCCATCACAAACATTTCTCACTGAGATGCACTAGGATGTACAGTTTGGGGTATTTTGTTCTTTTATACATGCTTTATAATGAACACTTCCACATTTTCATTCTATAAAGTTTTGTGTTTCTTTATCATCTTAATCCCTCTCTTTTGAATATTTCTAGATCTCTTGCAAGCCATGATTGCAATGGAGTTCCTCTCCCACATACTCCTATTGCCCCGTACACCAGGGCTAGAGAACAAAACCACGTGACCTTGGACTGAAACCCCTAAAACTGTAAGTCAACGGAAATCATTTTTTCTTATATGTTGATCATCTCAGAAATTCTGTCACAGTGATGGAAACTGATGAATAGTTTAGTGGCATATTTGGCTTTCTTTTGTTATCCTAAATTGGAAGCAGGAAGTAGAGAGAGAAATTAAGGAAGGTGGCATTGTTGAATAAGCCTCGATTGGTGTGAAGGATGTGACCTGGCTTTTTAGGTTGGTTGTTGCAAAGTTTGTGGGCCATAGTTTTATCTTCTTCTATGGATCTCCATGTGTGTATTTAGTCTCATGATACATAGGAACTCATTGCCACAGTAAGAACAGTCAGTGTTCATCTGGTATCAGTTACTGACAGTAGATTCTGAGTCAAACTGATTAGCTGACATAATTAACTGAAGGATCAAAAAGGAGGAGGAAAAAGAGAATGAGAAATGAAGGTTGGAGGAAGAGATGGAAGCCAAAGCACTCAAGAAACATGGCAAGCCAATGGCCAAAACCACGAGTGATCGTTCATAAATGAACATCTATAAATCAAGCATAGTGATCATGGAGGTCAACACATACTTATTGATTTCCTATAAGCAAAACTCTCTGCTAGAAGCAGAGTAGATGTTAAGATAAAATGGCATTATCAAATTTTTCTCAGTTATTTCCAAAACATAAAGTTCTTTCCTTCATAAATCAGCAGCCGAAATCCACTGTTCTCCATTTCCTTCAGCAGAGAGGGCTGAGAATCCCCAGTGTTCTCAGTGATCAAAGCACGTATTTTCTCCTCCTTATAATTTCTTCCCTGCAGAGGGATGAGAAAGCCACACTTGACCTGCTTTCCACTCCTAGGGGACTCTGCATCTGTCCTCTGATGTTTAAGAGTGTGTCAATGTCTTGTATTCAGAAACTAAAGCTTGCATATGGGGAGGCAGAGTACCGTTGAATCTTCACCCTGCACCCATATTTATTTCCTACAACCCACATCAAGAGTAATACCATTGTTTTAGCTATTTATACCTCCAAGGGTGATGACCTTTCTTTATATATAAATATATATTGAATATTTTATTTTATTGTTGATAATAACTGTTGCAGAAAAGATGAATAATAAATACATAGGACAGCTTCAGTATCACTAGAGAACAGAAGTAGTGTTAAAAATGAAAGCACTTGAAAATAAGGGCATCATATGCATTTAAATATATAAATCTATTCTCAGAGACCAAACTGTAGTAGGGAGCCGCTATTGCCTTTCTTCCCCAGGAAGATTCATTTGTACTTTTGAAAGATGTTGTTTAAAGGAAGTGACAGCGTTAATCCAGTTGATCTTATTTGCTCTTCTTTATCCTTTTCTCCTAGCTCCCTTTCTCCCTTGCATTATTTTGCTAAATTGGTTTTCTCTTCCTGAACACAATATGATCTGACTGAATTTACTTTTGTTTAGTGAATCTCTGAACTCATGAAATGATAAGTCTCCACTTACGCAGAGGCTTTTGGGAAGTAATTGGATGTATAGTCATCACTGGGATATTGCACTGCAGACAATTTCATTTTGTGTACAAGGGGTGGGGGAGAAGACCTAACAGCAGCCCTGCCTTTAGGATGTATTACATTGTCTTCTGTGAGGTCCTTTTCTTATCAGTCAAGCTTCTACTTATCAACTCACTGAGCCACTTGGATCATTTACATATATACACAACTTGATAAAAACAAACAACACTGAAAGGGAAAGCCACTGAAGTAAGATATGTTGTTACTAAGATAAAAAAAAAAAAAAAAAAAAAGGTTGTTGCTTTTTAAATCTGATCTCTCTGTCCCTAAATGGAAGAGTTGGCATTCATTTAAGATCAGAGAGCACTTTTAGGAATCTTTTTAAAATTGTTTTTTAAAATGTCTTCAGTGTCTCATTAGCTTTGTGACTCATGCATTTGATCATTCAGAAGAGAACCTCGTATTTTCTTCCAAATAGGCAAAAAATTAAAAAAATAAAAATAAAAATAAAAAGCAGTAGTTGTTCTCCCTTTAGATAATCCCAAAGATCTGATCACACTGACTTTGAATCTCTCCAATCCTATCTTTCTGCATATTTTTAATTAGTGGTTGATTTTTCTATAGCTACAATGCTCCACTACCACTTCTAAGACTCTAAAAATACATAAGAATTTCACAGGAAAATCAGATCAGCACAAAAAGCCGGGTTAATTTACTTGTAGTTTCTTGGTGTCTTGTTAACAACTAAATTATAGAGAGGACCAAAAAACACCAAAATTCTATCCTTGATAAAAACTTGAGATGGACATCTTTAAGATAATTCCACTATTATTTTATATCCAATTGTTCAGAAAATATTTATTTATGATGTAACCTGGATAGAACATCAGAAGAAAAATACATTTAATATCACATCATTGTAAACAATTAATTTTAAAATTGTTGAGAATCACATTCTGAGTTGTAGAGAGGTAAGGAGTAGTTCTCATGGAGGAGAATAGAGGGAACATGGAGGTAATACAGATGAGATCTGTGCAAGGAACCAGCTCAATAGAAAGGAGGAGCCCTGAGTCATGTTAAGCAACATTCCCCTAGCATTGTTCCCTAGACTTTCGAGAAACCTCTTTCCATATGCATTATTTGTTCTCAGTTGTTTGAATATCTGCTTTGGGCATGAAGGAAGGGGGAAGGAGGCACTAGGAGAATAGCACAGGGGACCAAGGGACACATTGTTTCCCCACACAAGCCCGGCATCATCAACAGGGGACAAAGACTTCATCACCAAGTGGCAATCTCATTAAAAAATGTCTGCGTAAACTGGGTGGAAGTTGATATCCAAAAATGGGATGATGGGTGATGGGGCCTGAGCCATGTAACCTTTTGAAAGCATTGTGATATAATTAGTAGAAATGGGTTGGTAAATTCTGAGATAGGCTGGGGATGTCAACTAGAACCTATATACAGATATATATATATATATATATATATATATATATATATATTCTGTACCTATATACAGAGATAGTATAGACAAGGCTAAAATATACCAGTGTTTGTGCATGGTGAGATTATGAGTGAGATTTTAGGACTTTCAGCAAATTATCTGTAGTACAAATGTATTAATTTAATAATACTAAAAAGAGATCAGAATTATTATATTCATGTAACCGTAAGACTTCAAATGCAATAAGCTAAGGGCCTGAACTAGGGCGGTAACATGAAGCTATCTGAATGGACAGGTCATCAAGAAAGATATATAGATGGCATGTAATCATATGAGCAGATGATCTACATTATGCATTATTAGGGAAATAAAAGTAATAATAAGGAGATACTATGGCACATCTGTTAGAATACCCCCCAAAGTCATAACACTGGCAATATCAAATGTTGATGAAATATGGAATAAGAGAGGCCCTTACTCATTGCTGGTGGGAATGCAAAACGGTACAGTCACTTTGGAAGTCAATGTGGCAGTTTCTTAAAAAACTAAACATACTCTTACCATATGATCCAGTATCGTGCTCCTTGGTATTTACCAAGTAGCATATGTTCACACAATCCTATGCATGGATGTTTATAGCACATTATTCATATTCACCAGAACTTGGAAGAAAACAAAATTTCCTTCAGTACATAAATGGATAAATAAAGTAGTGTACATCCATATAATGGAATATTATTCAGTGCTAAAAACATGGGCTATCCAGTTATAAAAAAGATATACTGTGTGATTACAATGATATGACATTCTATAAAAAGCAAAACTATGGTCATAGAAAAAAAGATCAGTTATTGCTAGCAATGAAGGAGGGGGGTGGATGAATAGGTGACGTAGAGAGAAGTCTTAAAGCAGTGAAACTATTCTGTATAAGATTATAATGGTGGATATACGTGATTATTCACTTGCTATAATCTATGGAATGCACGGCATCCAGAGTGAACCCCACTGTAAATTATGGGCTTTGGGTGACAATAAAGTCACAAAGTAGGTTGTTCATTTTTAACAAAAGCTTTAGGAGTAGTAGGAGTCGACAGCAGCAGTGTGTACGGGATCAGGGAATAGTTGGGGACTCTTTGTACCTTCTGGTTAATCTTTCTGTGAACCTAAAGCTGTTCTAAAAAGCAAAGTCTATTTACATGGGTTATTAAAAAAAATAGCATAAAACTCAAAACCAAAGAAAACAACAGTAAAAACTGAATTGATCTTCACAACAAATGAGCCATTTTCATTCTGTTGACTTGATCCCACCACCAGGACAGTGAGAGAGGTGAGGGAAAACACAGGAAGGTATGGCTAGTCCATCTTCCTTGCACGTCTGCCTTCTATTCTTCAAGGGATTTGAAAGCCATTATTATCCAGACATAGAAAAATAATGTTTCAGAAGAAAAATGGACAACAGAAATTATTGCCTCAGTGAAATCCCCTGGAGTACCAAACAGATCCACGAGAAAGTTGGTCTTTCCTCATTTAGAGCTGAATGAATTGTATATCACCAAAGATGCAACAATTATTTGTCATATTCATTTTGGTTTGGTCAGAACTTCTTTATATAGATTTATTAATAAAACTTAGAATAATTGTATTAAATGATTTTAATTTAAGAGCCTGAATATTAGAAACTGCAGCTCTGGCCAGAATCTTTGCAATGGTATGTATGGTTGCAAAGTGGGTTAGTGATTAGAGCCTCTTAAATGTATTCAAGCATCTGAAATTCAGAATATTTATGGAGAAAATGAGGCAGTGAGTAGAGAAAAGGTAGCAGATTTTTCTGCTGCAAAAGTGTTCATAATTTAACAAGATATTTTGGTTTAAATGGCATATTAAGTAAATAAGTAGTAAGGAATAAGTCTTCTTTTATTGTTAAAATAGACAGAGAAAAATGTTCAGTTACAATAATATAAACACTTCCAAAATACTTTGTCTTTTATTGATGGCCATTCCATTGTATAAATAATATTTCACTTAGAGATCTATAAAAATTTTATCAACTGCAAATAAATCATCTAATCATCTTTTTGTATAAGTAT